AGTCCACTGATCGATACACTACTGGCAGGCATTACAAAAAGATCTGGGCAACTTCTAGAAGATCAGGATTGCCAGCTGGCTGCTGCCTTTCATCCCAAGTTTCGCCTRTTCTGGCTGGAGAAGTTTGATAGCAGCCAGGTTGGCAGAGTGGTTAAAGCCATGGAGTCTGTCGTACAAACAGTCCTGGAGGAAGTCTCTGATGTGGACTTCGTTAACTCCCCCAGCAATGATGAGGATGAGGAAGATGATCTCTTCAGCAGCATCACACGGCCCAGTGAAAGCAGGAGCGAATTTGCACTGAAGTTAAAAGCACAGATCATGGTGAAGAGCTGGCTGGAGACACCCTCAAAGGCTGTGTGGACTAATGCTGCCTTTTTGGGTGAGAAGTTACTCATTAATCTGTTCACCAAATATAACACACCCGTCCCCTCCAGTGCAGCAGTTGAACGCCTGTTCTCGATGGGAAAAGACATTTTGAGGGCCAAGAGAGCAAGCTTGTCTGACACCAATTTTGAAGTGCTGATTTTTATGAGAGGCAACCAGCATCATATGGAGGAGATGAGCACAGATCAGTTAGAGTAGCTGAATTTGAAGAAGGGCAGGAAATAAAACTGTTAAGAATGTTTTTTTTTTCTGTTTCTTATGCCTTAATAGACATTTTGTTTATTGATTTGTTTGTATACCTTTTTAATTTTTTTTAATCACATTTTATTTACTGATGGCCACGCTTTTTGTGTTGATGTGTTAACTGATGTGTTTTGTTTTCAGTAATACAGCAAAATAGTGGCTGAAAATGTTTTTTTTAATTTCTTTTTGTTCATTCACAAAGCTTTTTGAGTTTGTGACTGTTTTGTACACAATAAAGTTGCTGAAAACATTTTTCTTGTTTATTTACTGAATTGCATAGCATATTGTTTTTGGAAATGAGTCTGACAACACAAAAAAGCTAACACACTTCACCACCAGGAGGCTGCCTGGGACTAACGTAACAAAGACTAAAGTCAGTAACACACTACACCACCAGGAGGTTGGGACTAACGTAACAAAGACTACCATCAGTAACTGTTACGTTAGATTACCATCAGTAACACACTACACCACCAGGAGGTTGGGACTAACGTAACAAAGACTACCATCAGTAACACACTACACCACCAGGAGGCTGGGACTAATGTAACAAAGGACTATCAGTAATACACTACATCACCAGGGACTCAGATCCTGCAGGGCCAGACGTGTCCTCCTGCTTAAGTCAGGACATATCCAGGCCCATCTGAAGTTTACTAGAGAACATTTGGATGTTCCAGAAGAGTATTGTGAGAATGTCATATGGTCAAATGAAACCAAAGTAGAACTGTTTGGTAGAAACACAACTGGTTGTGTTTGGAGGAAAGTGAATGCTGAGTTGCATCAAAAGAACACCACACCTACTGTGAAGCATTGGGATGGCAACATCATGCTTTGGGGCTGTTTCTCTGCAAAGGGACCAGGWCGACTGGTCCGTGTACATGAAAGAATGAATGGGGCCATGTATGTATGGTGAGATTTAGAGTGCTAACTTCCATCAGCAATCATTGAAGATGAAACGTGGCTGGGTCTTTCATCATGACAATGATCCCAATGCCAGGGCAACAAAGGAGTGGCTAATGTAAGAAGCATTTCAAGGTCCTGGACCGGCCTAGCCAGTCTCCAGAATCAATCCCATAGAAAACCTTTGGAGGGAGTTGTAAGTCTGTGCTGCCCACCGACAGCCCCAAAACATCACTGCTCTAGAGGAGATCTGCATGGAGGAATGGGCCAACATACCAGCAACAGTGTGTGCCAACCTTGTGAAGACTTACAGAAAACGTTTGACCTCTGTCATTGACAACAAAGGATATACAGTAAAACAAAGTATTGAGATTAACTTTTGTTGTTGACCAAATACTTATTTTCCACCATAATTTGCAAATAAATKYTTTAAAAAAATGAGACAATGTGATTTTCTAGATGTTTTCTCATTTTGTCTCATAGTTTAGGTCTAACTATGATGTCATCTACAGGCCTCTCATCTGTTTAAGTGGGAGAAATTGAACAGTTGGTGGCTGACTAAATACCTTTCCCCCCCACTGTAAATTATAATGACATATTATAGTCTTTGGTCCTACCCTATTTAGTCTGGTCCTACATCAGGTCTAACCTGCTTCCTTCATGTCCACTCTTCAGGTTTTATGATGTTTGCTCTCTGTGTCAGCAGATGCATCAGACCAGGATGCAGCAGCAGCTGATTCTACAGCAGCAGCAGCAGCAGCATCAGGCCCAAGCTCAGGCCCAAGCTCAGGCYCAAGCCCAAGCTCAGGCTCAGGCCCAAGCCCAGGCTCAGGCCCAAGCTCAGGCCCAGGCTCAAGCTCAAGCACAGGCTCAAGCTCAAGCTCAGGCCCAAGCGCAGGCTCAGGCCCAGTCCATTCAGCAGATGGTCCAGCAGCAGCAGCAGGTTCAGCAAGCTCAGATGCCTCCACACTCTCAGCAGCAGCCTGGCATGGTGCCTCAGTCTCTGGCCGGACAGATGACATCAGCTCAGCATGTTCCCATCAACTCTTTGAGCCAGCAGCCGCAGCTGAAGTTCCCGGTGAGACTCGGATCTCTGGTTCTGTTTTAGATGAAGTTCAGGAACACATTCAGATCCACTCAAACTCCCCGTCCTCTGCCTTTGTGTTTTGTTTTCTGTATGTTTGTGTGTAGCAGTCCCGTGCAACCTTACCAATGCAGCAGGCCGCTGCCGCCGCCGCCTCCGCTGCTGTACCTGGACAGGTGAGACCTCCCTCTGCAGGTTAAACTGCTCTGAATCCTCAATCGTTAGTTTAGGGATCTCACCTCTGCTCTCATTCCTCCTCTGCAGATGGTTCGTCCTCCTCAGAATCCAATCCGGCTGCCTCGAGCTCCTCTCAACACCTCCGTCCCTCCTCCGAATATGGCCACGCCCCCCACCGGGATTGCCGGACAGACACCACAGGTTGACGTTGGACTCCATTATTTACAACAGAAAACTATTAGAGAGGGCGGAGTCACTGAAGACAGAAATGACACAAAATCTAAAACTATGTTCTAGATTTGTTCTAAAGATGAAAGAAACAGAAAAAGTAAAAATTAGCGCAAGAATAGCAGAAAGAAGCTGAATGTTAGCTGAAATAACAGAAAAAATCTAGAATTGGCAAAAAGAAGCTAAAGGTAACACAAGTTGAAGTTAGCACACACAGAGGGATAGCAGTGTAAAAACAAATTTGCAGAAAATAACACTACAAAAAAATATGATTCATGGTTGTAGCATGTACTGATGGTAGAAACAGAAGGGTGATACTGTTTCTGAAAAGGCCAAATTGAGCAGTTAAACAGTTAAACTGTAGCTCAAAATGCTGAAATTTACACAAAGAAGCAGAGGGAACACATATCTGCTGAATTAAGCAGAAAATAAGCTAAAATAGCAGGAGTGTTTTTGACCTGTGGGACTCTGGAAGCAGCTGATAGGTATCTGCAGTCCAAGTTGATTGCAGCTCAGGTGGTCGCTGAGGCAAAACCTCGGGCGTGGGAGGAGTTTAGATAGGCCATGGAAAAATACTTGCGTACAGTTTCGAGGTGATTCTGGTCCACCATCCAGCATCTTGGGGGGGGGGTCAGTTCACCACCACCACTGTTTATGGTGGGGATGGTGCGCTGCTGACCTCAACTCGGGACATTGTGGGTCGGTGTGCAGAATACTTCGAGGACCTCCTCAATCCTACCGACACGTCTTCCCATGAGGAAGCAGAGCCTGAGGACCCTGGGTTGGACTCTCCAGTCTCTGGTGCCGAGGTCACTGAGGTGGTTAAAAAGCTCCTCAGTGGCAGGGCGCCGGGGGTGGATGAGATTCACCCGGAGTTCCTTAAGACTCTGGATGTTGTGGGGTTGTGTTGGTTGACACGACTCTACAACATCGCATGGACATCGGGGGCAGTTCCTCTGGATTGACAGACCGGGGTGGTGGTCCCCATTTAAAAAGGGGGACCACAGAGTGTGTTCCAACTATAGGGGGATCACACTTCTGAGTCTCCCTGGTAAGGACTATTTAAGGGTCCCGGAGAGGAGGGTCCGTCAGATAGTCGAATCTGATTCAGGAAGAGCAGTGTGGTTTTGGTCCTGGTTCTGGAACACTGGGCCAGCTCTACACCCTCAGCAGGGTCCTGGAGGGTTCATGGGAGTTCAACCAGTCTACATGTGTTTTGTGGAYTTGGAGAAGATGTTCAGCCTTGTCCCTCGAGGACTCGTGTGGGGTACTCCAGGAGTGTGGGGTACCAGGCCCGTTGATACGGGCTGTTAGGTCCCTGTAGGACCAGTGCCAGAGCTTGGTCCACATTGCTGGTAGTGAGTTGGACTCGTTTCAGTTAACAGTTGGACTCCACCAAGGTTGTCCTTTGTCACCGATTCTGTTCATAACTTTCATGGACAGAATTTCTAGGAGCAGCCAAGGTGTTGAGGGGATCCGTTTTGGTGACCTTAGGATCACATCTCTGCTTTTTGTGGATGATGTGGTCCTGTTGGCTTCATCAGATCCTGATCTCCAGCTCTCACTGGAGCGGTTCACAGTCGAGTGTGAAGCAGCCGGGATGAGGATCAGTGCCTCCAAATCTGAGACCATGGTCTTGAGCTGGAAAAGGGTAGGGTGCCTTCTCCGGGTCGGGGAGGAGATCCTGCTCCAAGTCGAGGAGTTTAAGTATCTCAGGGTCTTGTTCATGAATGAGGGAAGAATGGAGCAGGAGATCAACAGGTGGATTGGTGCTGCGTCTGCAGTGATGTGGGTGTTGTACCGGTCTGTCGTGGTGAAGAGAGAGCTGAGCCAGAAGGTGAAGCTCTTGGTTCACCTGTCGATCTATTTCCTACCCTCGTCTATGGTCAGGAGGATAAGAGAAAGGAAATGAACGGAAGGATGGGTGGGAATAGCTGAACAGTAGCTAAAATTGAAGCAAACATTTAAAATTAGCAGAAAGCAACTTAAAGAATCATAAAAAGCTTATATTTGCAAAAAGAAGCATAAAATAGTAGAAATTAACAGAATAATATCAGAAAGGTACAGAATGATAGCTTAAATAGCAGGAAAAAAAATTGGCCGAAGGAAGTTAAAGGAAGAAGAACCAGAACAAAAGGTGTAAAGAGCTGAAAACGTATAAACAGCTGAAAACGTATAAACAGCTGAAAACGTATAAACAGCTGAAAACGTATAAACAGCTGAAAACGTATAAACAGCTGAAAACGTATAAACAG